CTTGCTTACTCACACATCCTTATGGGAGGCAGCTTGAATGAGGCTGTGAACTAAATACCTCTGAGAGGCTTACAAACTAACCCGGGAGTCCCTGAGCTTTTCTCAGTGAGAAGTTAGTATTTTTCATTTTTCAACTATCATTGTTTTAAAACACACAAGCAAACTTAACCTTAACGAGGCAGGGCATCCTACAGCTTAGCTCTTAATTCTCCAGCATGCACAGCACATACATGGCTGCTTCACATGATGAAAACAAAGGAGGTTGCAACGGTGGGGAGTAGGGATGAAATGATGAAATAATAAAAATTAGAAAAAGCAAAAGGGGGAAAAAAACCTTCCAGACAGATGTGAGACATTGCGGACTTCCACTCTATTTACAGCCTTACTTTTAGATAAAACTTTCATAAAAAACTTTTGTTTATGTTGCGATACGAAGTGGTGCTCAGACTGCCTCCAAGGGGACTGGAGAAAGGTGCAATGGTTAAAAGCACAGGCTGCTCTTGCAGAGGACTTTCATTTCCACCACTCAGGTTGGGCAGCTCACAACTCCCTGTAACTAGCTTCAAGGGCATCCAACACCCTCTTCCGGCTTGTACTGGGCACCTGTACTTGTGTGCATAGCCCCCAACACACACACACATGCACGCACACACACGTACCAAATGAATTCTCTCCCCAGCCTCAGAATCATTTGTTTTAACCCTGCTTTTTGAAATCTGTTCCTGAACTGAAGTTAAGCGCCAACAACTCTGCAATACACTTGTTGGCAAACACAAGTTGTAATTGTTGTTCTCACAGAAGTGGCACCGCTCTTGCCCATGGCATCTGCCAGTTCCTTTTTGGCTGGTCATTCTTGAATACATTCTATCTTCAATCTTTCGAAGGACAGTGGAGGTGGAGTATACAGAATACTTGGGACAAGATACATTTGGAATATTTTTGTAACCATAATGAAACATCTTAGGACAGGGCTCATCTCAGTAGGAGGAGCTTGAAGGCAACTTTATACATCCTTAGTGTGCCTGTATCTTGTCAACAATTCATCAGTAAGGTGTTGAATTCTCTAATTCTAAGGCTTTGGGGCCCAAAGCCTTGGACTTAGGGGTGTTTCTTTATGAATTAAAGCTGTTCAACTTGCATGGTCTACCAGTCAGAACTTCCTAATGCCATGCTTCACATAAAAAGAGGCTACCAGCATTTGCCCAGGTAGGATCTTGCCTCTCACACATGACTCTAATATACTTACTGTTATAGTTTACACGTTTCTGCCTCAAATAAATAAATGGCAAGAGGCTATCAAGATGGAATCCAGTGAGTATCAGAAAAGTTAAATGGCTTCAACAAGTTTGTTTAGCAAGATCAAAGACTAACTCGTGAAGGTTCTTTGACTCTCAAGTCCCATCCTACTTCCTTTTTGCCCATACATCCTGAAGAGCACGGGCAAACCACACACATCCCACTGTTTCACCCCGGTCCTCAACAAATCACACGTGAGACTGGCTCATTTAAAGCCGCCCCACCATCACTTTCACACTGTATGAAGTACTTCCTAAATAATACACTCTTTGTCTGTTTTACAGACTGTTTTACCCTTACGCTTTGAGCACTAGCATCTGCTCTCAAACCAAGAGGGCCAGCTGGATGCTAGCTACTGCAGCTCTCCCTGACACCTGAGAGGCCCTCAATTGCCTGCCCTGTTCACTTTGCCTGTCCTTTTATTCTGTGCTCTAGCAATTGGCTTAAGCCTCATTCTTCTGCTTAAGCAATGGCAGCTCCCACCACAGGCAGAGACCACCATACGTGAGGTTTGAGTTTACAGGTGCTCAAAGACCTTGAAGAAAATGTGAGTGCTCTACGGCACAACCGTGGTCTGGGAGGAACCTGCAGCAGTGAGCTCAGAACACTCAACATACTGACACTTTTCTTTAGAAAAGCCTTAGCTCTGTAGCGGGCTGCCAGCACCAGTTTCCATTGTCCTAGTGTGAAAAGGTGATCCTCTGAGTAGTTTCACCTTCGTTTGTACATCTGCAGAGATCCATTACCCAGGCCTGTAACAGGCCAGTGCCTTCAGACTACTTTCCCAGCTGTACACTCCAGGCTTGTACACTCCAGATTACCCATAAATCTGGTCATTTCCACAGGGGATAACTTTTGACAATGTTCTCCATTTTCCCCATCTTCTGGGGCTGGTTATTAAACGAAAATTTTCTTAGAAAATCGCACTGAAACATAGAATAACCATACTTTCCCACTTACCCATGGATTAAGGAATGTGATCTCAAGTGTGCAGCACAGTTCCATCGCATCTTTAAACTTGGGTGTTTGCTTTAATTATATAAATCATCTGTAGTTGACACCACGAACGATGCTTTCAGATTAAGATGACAGGAGCCAGGCTGGAGCAATGGCTCTGTGGTTAAAAGCACTGGCTGCTCTGCCAGAGGATCCAGCTTCGATTCCCAGCACCCACATGGCAGCTCAAAACCCCTTGTAACTCCAGTTCCAAAGCATCTGATGTCCTCTTCTGAAACCCTCCAGCAATACACTCATACAGGTGCAGACATACATGCAGTTGAAACACATAAAGTAAGTCTTTAAAAAAAAAAAACAAAACAAAACAAGAGAGAGAGATTACTAGCTTCAGCCATCATCTATCATTTGCACTTAGCAGTGTCTGGTAAGTAGGTGTTCAGTGCTGATGTAGGCTGAAGGTTCTATGCCCCAGCCAGTGAAGACCCAAGTTAACAGGAAACACAAGTCCTGTTCCAGAAAATGCCCTCCCTTGGCTCCCTTCCTTACAAGGCAGGAGCATCCATTTCAGCTTTAAGGACATGAGACGTTAGGAACATTGCAACTTTAAAAGCTCATATGTGTGAGTAAATAGGCAAAGGCTCAAATGTTCTCCATCTTACAAGTCAAGGCTGTTTTAAAACTTGCATTTTCCCAGGCACTTGAAAATGTTATTTACAGTGTCACAGTTTTTTCATCCCAGCCCTTACATGTAGACATATATATATCTGCCTAAGTCTACGGAGGGGAACGAACCCACGAGAATTATGAAGCCCTCATTTTCAATTTACTTCCACTTTGGCCTCCAGGAAGTAGATGCTGTTTGTCCTAATACCCATCAGCGGGGGAACTGAATGGCCAGGAAGTGTCAGTGTATCCATGCACTATCAGAAAAATCATTTTGTGAGTGATAAATTGTCAAGTAAGACTCAGCAACAACACATTAATTCAAGTGACTTCAATTTTATTTTTTCATCCAATCTTCAGAAGGTGGGAGTAGTGTCAGGTAGAGCATCTCCCCAGCCCTCTCCCCACCAAGCCAAATCACCCAAGACCTGGGATGTAGAAAATGAATAGTAGATCGTCGGTGGTACCAATACGAACAGTTGGTTACAGCACCATGCTAATAAGCCAGGGTCTGAGCACTGACTTCTGCAAGGGCCAATTAGTTGACGCTTGTCCCAAGGACCTAGGCAGCATTCTTAACTGCAGACTGCTTTTTATTTTTCACAATGCATCCCACTGTCAGAAGACAAGGTCCTGGCAAGGTGGTTGGTGAACGAAAACAGGTCTATCTATCCTAATTGGGGGAGGACGGGGGGGAGAGAATCCCATGTATGCTACTGATGAAAGGTTAATGGAATCTTATCTGTAAAGGAAATGCCACACATATTCTTAGCTCTATGCTCAACATGGTTCAAGTCTGAAATAGTTAATGACAGTTAACAGTTGGCTTGATCTTAAAACTAGTAACATTCCATAGCAATCTACAGTAAAGGCCCTGATACTGTTCCTCAACCCATGGAACTACCAATTCCACATGGACATTCTTTCCTCTATACCTATGTACCACATTTTTGTTTTTTGTTTTTTTTTTTGCATATTTACCGTTATTTGGTTCAAAGTACTGTGAAAAATTCAGCTAGAAAATTATTCATAAAACTTGTATTCTGTATTTTATTTTCAAACAGCCAAGTGTCCACATTTAAAATGCAGAATTTGCAAATATAAGTTAATCTAATAATTCAATGTAAAATAAAGTAAAACAACTTCTTTTAGTATCACAATACATAAAATGGTAGTATAAACTCCAAGAGGCAAGGTGAACTCTATGACGATAGTGCCGAAAGCTATGACCTCATTAGACCTTGTAATGTCAGTTCATGTTCCATGACCAGGCAGGAAACAAGCTGCCCCTGTCTTCAAATGGCTCAGCAATTCACTCCTGGTGTAATGTGGGGTCAAGCGAGAAGGTTTGTTTGTTTTAAACAATGATAATAAAAAAAATCTTCCAACAAAAAAAATCCTCCCAATTGTTTAAAAACAATTATACATGGAGGATAACTATATTTTTAAATATCTTGGCTAAACTTCAATCATTAGGCTGCTGAGTGCAGTGTAAAAGTTTGTATTTAAAAATATCACAAATATAGTCTTTAACAGTGAAAATTTCAATGTGGTTAAGTTTCACTGTGAAGCGATTTCACCTGAGTAGACTTTGAAATCTAGTGCTTATATTCAGGGGAAGGGAAGGAAAGCCCCAGTTTGTGTCTAATACTGAGTTTGCAGCGGATTCTCCCACTGACCCCGTAGGGGTGCAGGAACCGTCTGCTGTGGCCTGCCCAAGACAAGACGGCCCCTTCCCGCGTGAATTTACTCTGGCATCTTAGGAATTCTCAGTATCCATCAAACATTTCCATGTAGCTACCCATTCAAGCATACAACCCAATTCAGTCAGTTCTATACAACAGCCTCTATATTATATACATGTTTAATTAGCATTAGGAAATAGAAAATAAAAATTTACAGTGATTGAGAGGGGGTCAGAGAAAGGACAGGGAAGTAATACTGTATAACCAGAATATCCTATCAGCCTACCACTTTCAATGATGACAAGGTTTTCTTTTATTGGCTGGAGTACAAAGAAGGCATAGGGATTCCAGGAAAATAACACTATGTCTCAGAAAATTCAACGTGCTCAACCATCAGGATTTCCATCACACATTTAATTTCTTCTGTACAATTTTTATAAATGTGGTTTTCTTTTCAAAGTCATCAGATTTCCAGGTGAAACTCAGCACTACACAGTGTGCCCTTGAAGCAATGAGGTTAACCTGCTTTATTTGGGTACCAAGGTCCCTTCCAGACAGCATTAAAATAAAGACAAGTAAGACTAGACAGATAAAATCCAGTATAATTCAAACCCGACAATGAAAAATTTCCCCCATATTGTTGCAAAATTCTTTCTACTGAAATGCTCTGCTACAGTAATAAAAAGCGTACATTACATAGAAAAGGTACCAGTGTACTAAAAGTGACAGGAGTGGACTAGCAAATCCTTCAAAGCACATTATAGAAATGACTAGCATTAAAAACATTTTCCCTATAAAATGTAGGTCATAATCATTTATAAATTGGCGGCTTCGTTTCTAAAGCAGTGACGGGTGTTCAGAGAGCTGCTCTGTACAGTATAGTTATCTACTCACTTCAAGCATTAAGTCTGTCTTTCTTTGTACTGAAGTTGAGTAAATTCATCTGGTCAGCTGAGAAATCAAGCTTGAAAAATAAGTATCTAAAAATCAAAGTAGAAAGTTTAGAATCATTGAAATGTAGCTATGAAATATGAAGAAATTTATCTACTTCACAATTGAACTGAAGCTATCTCAACACTTACGGGTTTGAATCTAGAACAGAAACACATAATAAAACCCAAGGTAAACCACAAAGTTAGGTAGCGGTACAGAAGCAGGAAAAACAAAACCAAACAAAAAAACCCCACATCCCTTCCTTCAGTGTGATGGGCACTAAGTTCTGCCGTCTTCTTCCATCTTTGCACAAGTGGTAAGGCCATTCAACGCTTAGTGAGAGAGAGCACAGACGAAGCCAAATCTAGCCTGTCTCCCCTGCAATGTCAATTATGCTGTGTAAACAGTGTTACGTTCCAACAGGAGGAACAATGGAATTTGCTTATAAAAACTGATTAAAGATAATCATTATTAAATGAACTAAGGATAACTAAGAACTCTGAAATGTTTCTCTAGAACGTTCCTGATGCTACTTGTAAAGTTAGCACTGCTATGTGTTATTGCTTACATACAGTACATCACACGCCCTCTAACATAAAGCGGTCCTGTGACTGGTTTGTACATATTTACAGAGTCTTAAAAACAAGCTGTAAAAACATTACATACTTTCAGACAATACAAATTAGCACATTGGTACTCACTTCAAACAAATGGAATGCATAACATTAATAAACACCATAAAGGAAGACTCACATCAAGTCCTTGATTGTCAAGACACGTTTATATATAAACTCTAACTGTGCAGAATCAAAGGTTCAATCATAGGGAGGTACACCCTTACTCGATGAACCCTATTTACAGCATGGTATTGCATAAAAAAATAAAATAATGTTTACAGGGTTTTACTTTTTTTTTTTTTTTTTTTTTATCCATTGGATTAAAGGAAGCAACAAACACAACACGAAATGTTTGTCCGCTTTAGTTTGTTTCCTACCAACATTTAGGTGGAAAAAAGGAAACACACGGCTTTTATTTGCAGAATATAGCAAAACAACTGGAAAATTATTTCCCTGAAATAAAGCGATTTGAAACGAAAAAAGGTTTAAATTGCAGACTCAAATAGATTCTCACTGATTTTAATAGTGCTTCTTCAAGTAACTACACTGAAAAAAAGATGAGCTCTAGTTTAAAGGTTCTAGGGAGCGCAGTACGCAATGTGCCTACTCAAAGGCTCCCAGCCTCTTTTTTTTTTTTTTTTAATTTTTTTTTTTTAAACAGCCCTTTAAAAGCCCAAATAAAATCAAAGAAGTGGCAAAAGATCTAACCTCGCTGGCACTTTGCAAGTGTCCCTCATCTGCGGGAATTGAAAGTTTGCCCTGAGCACAAGGCCTCTTCTACCTCTCAAGAGATAAAATGACCCATTGCTGGCACCCTGAGTCAGAGCTAAGATGGTGGATTCCTACCTGACTAGGTAGCACATGCGCACTGTAGATCCCCAAAAAAAAAAAAAAAAAAAAAAAAACCACAAAAAAAACCCCCACAAAACTGTAGGAGCCACTTAGCTATTCCAAACCCAATAAACTACATGTGCAGTAAAAACTGAAGTTCAAAAAGCAACAATGCTTTCAGATGCTGGACAGCTCCTGCCCTGGTCTAGCCAGAGGTCTCCCAAGCCCAGACTGGAAGGACCTGTGAGAAAAAGCAGAACAGGCTCATGGTGAGCAAAAGCTGACAGGTGTTAGGAGCTACTCTTCGAGAAGAATTTGCTCACTGAGAGAAATGAGAAGTGTGAACTAACAGGGTCCTATCTCCAATCCTCCAGGGATCCATCAAACAAAGCAGCACACAAGGCCACTTCCTCTCTCTAATGGCCAGGCAGGGAAACCCAGACTGTTGAGATGCTTCTCATAGGATGAAGATACAAGCTGAGTCTGGCAGGCATCCAGAACTTCACAGTAAGTGAGGACTCTACGTTAACTGGTAAGTCAGTAAGTTATGCTGGCTGTTGGTTATCTCAAATGTGTATAACCTGGTAGAAAAGTCTGCCATTGTGTGGATTTAAAGAAATGTGTTTAAGACAGGAATGCGACACCTGAAATTCTGTTTATAGAACTTCTGTTTTCAAAGGCTTTTCTTCCTAAGCTTACCTGAAAGCTCAGCAACCATCACATTCTTAAAACTGTGCTGGTGATGTTAAAGACAGACCCTTACACTACACAAGAAACGTATCAAGTTCACAGTGGAACCACATTGTCTTTTAATCAGGCTCAGCTTAGGAATGAATGTCTGCTCTTATCAAAAGCACTATGAGAGAAACACAAGCACCCATCTAGGGGGTGTACGGTCCCATCACACCTCATCTGATGAAGCGTTCCTGTGGTTACGGGATGCGCCACAGACACACGTCAGTCTTCAGATCAATAATGGCAGAACTTAAGATTTTTACTTCAAAGAAGTCTAAAGTCCTTGAGATCTGACAGCAAAGCTGTCAAATGGGAAAACTATGATATCAAGCAAAGTTCATAACAAAGTGTAGAGGAAACCACATTAAACATAACTTATATTCCTTGTCATAAAAACACCAACATATTAAAAAATAAATGAGTGTAAGTGAAGGATCCTGGGGAGAGGATATTTCTTTGCTCCCTTCTTTTTGAGAACAGTCTTGGGATAACATTAAATAAAAGAAAAATAATTTAAATGGGTAACATACTCAACACAGAAACAAAGCAAGCAGATCTACAGGGTCAACAGCAAAGTCAAAATGGAGTTAACAACAGCTTCACCTCCCAAGGGTACTAGTTTTAGATTACCACTGGTGCACTGTGATAAAGATGGCACAGATTTAAAGTACAAAACCGAAAAAGGTGGAGCAAACAAAAGAGAGTAGAGTCAATGTAACTAATGTTAGTCTCCAAAAATTAAAACTGTCCAATGTGTAACTCAAACCATCATTCTTCATAAAAGTGTATAGATAGATAGATATAAAAGCAGTATTTATTGTACCATGCTGTATTATTTTTAAGACAAAGTATACATATATAAAAAGAACATTCGTGGTATAAGGATAAAGTCTGTAGTTTATTTAGATTTTGAAATTCAACAAAAAAAAATTCCGATCACTCATCTAGCTGAAAAACAAATTGCAGTTACTGGAATCAGTAAGCACTTCCGCTTTGTAAAACTGTCATGAGCAGTATTCACTTAAAAGTAACTTAAGTAAGCAATTAAAATGCCCATTTCTTTAGTTTCTTGGGATACTGTTTAATTATCCAATCTATCAAGAGTCCATAAAGAGAAGAATTAAACCAGGTTTTACAGTCCAAAGATATCCCAACTTCCTTTTATTGCCAAAAAGCAAAATTGTCAATTACGAGATGATTATGACACAACCATATCAAACCTAAAAAATCTATTTTTTAACTTTGAGAAATCAAAAATACCAGCTTAATTCTAAGTGCTCTATGCCAACTGAAGTGTGTAAAGTAAAATACATTTCAGCTTTAAAACGTGGAATATACAATTCGTGTAAGCATTATTTTTTGGGAATGTAATCTACAGAATATTTCTTTTACTAAAACTTCAAACCTTGATACTTGCACATGAAAAATCATAAAAAATATCTAAGTATACCTGTACAAAGGAACTGACACCAATATGCATACTTCCATAGAGAAGTGAATGCTTCAACAGTTGTGTGTTTTGGTAAAAGTTTTGAAAGTATGCATACTTTAAAAGTAATTAGGCTTTTAAATAGTGGAGTCTTAGACTATCAGATTTTTATTACTTTTTTCTTCAAAAAAAAAAACAAAAAAACCCACATGTCAATATAATGCAAAATGAAAATCAAGGGTATATGGCATATCATTTTTAAAAGGTGTTTTCTTTTTATTACCCCCATAGGACAAACTACTTATTTAAGCCATACTCTCTTGACATTGAAACTCTAAGTTCACTGTCTGTGGCGCAGCCTCGGATTCCCTGCTGAAGTGCAATACTATGCTGAAAAACTTAGAAACAGTATGAGGAAGTTTCACACAATTACTACTCTCCTAAGAATGTACAATGTTATCAGTTAGGAAACAATTGTGCGAAAGTCTTTTTCCTTTTATCTTGGTGTGGGTGAATAGCAAGTTTCTGATCTAAAACAGGTAATGCATTGCTTCTCTAACGGTGACAACACGTAAGGCAGTTCAAGGAATGCGGACTAACCAAACGAAATGCAGTTATTGGATTATCTTGCTATCCTTATCAGCTTGCTATGAACGCATTGCTCTCAGATCTGTACAGCACTCCATTTTACAGAGTAACCCCACTCTTGATTAATCTGTTCTAAAGTGCCAGTATTATTTACACTTTTTTTTTTTTTTTTTTTTTTTTTAGCCAAAAGTCTGGCCAGCTGTGGCATCTGGTGAAGACGTCATCCCAGCTCTATTATCATTTACATTCACCAAGGGAAATTCTGAAAATTCAGCACTTGTCCCTGGCCCCCGAAGGTTCACCTGTCCATTGGCAGTGCTAAATTGAGTTGCTATTCCAGCTCTGGATCCATGATATGGAGCACGGAAGGGCTGTTCAAAGGAGCTCATTTGGTAAGCCTGGTGGACAGGCTGTGCCTCAGCTTTCTTCTGAGAAGTCACTTGATCCAGAAAGTCTGCTGTGGATGTGGCAGAGGCGTGGTTTGTCTCATCACCTGAAAAGGGAAATGGGTGCTGTGAGTCACCGACTATTAGTCCAAAGTGGGATTTATCTGGAGTTGTTCTTAGTGGAGAATTCATTCCTGATCGAAAGCTATTGATGGGCATGGCTGCATAGACTTGCTTGTCTATGGAAGAGAATGCTGGCGGATTTGGAAGGGTCTGGTTATCAGTCACAAAGTTAAGGCTCGGGCTATTCAAATAGGCATCGTTTTGGCTAGTTCTGTCCAAAGCCTGCTGCAGAAACTTGGAGTATTCCTGCAACATGTTAGCTTTATCTGATGAGGATGCTTGGGAGCTTGATCCAACATTCTCTGACTGGGTGACTTCGGGTACATCGGAAGAATTGATTGATATGCTAGAAGTCACTTCAGTATCTGCAACACTGAAGGAAATCTCGTGCTGTCCATTAGCTTTGTGGGAGTAATGGTCCAGCAGAGTCTGCAGGACCTCATCTGGAATAACGCTTTTGTCATGGTTGCTCTTAATCTCCACGTTCAGTGCCTGGGAATCCAGGATGGACGCTGTGGTGCTCTCGTCGATGACGCTGGCCACAGCTGCTTGTGTCACAGAAGGCTGAGAAGCTATGGTGCCCACATTTAGTGCGTACTCCCTGCTGTTGTTACTTGCAGCTTGAAGATACCGCTTCTTCTTCAGAAACTGCATGGCATCATCGTAGTTAGTGCTGCTGTGCACAGGTTTGCTGGGCCCCTCCTGCAAGGTATCCACCTGATCGATGTCAGCGCTGCCCTCTGAGTCCAGTAATGCCTGCTTATCCACAAGCTCAAATGCATACTTTGAGACCTTGCTGTCTTCGTAAGTGGACAGGGGTGAAATGGTTTGATTTTGCTCCAGGGGCTGTTTCAGACTTCTCTTACTATTAATTTTTTTGAGAACCAACTTGGGTGGGTGTATTTCTCCAGATGCGTCCTCCAGGTGGGACCCTCCAACTGAAGCGTGTGGCATTTCAACAGCGTACTCTGCGACCATGTACTCATCTTTTACTTTAGTGCTGGAGGAGTAGAGAGGCAGGTAATCGTTTTTGTCCTTCTTCATCTCAGATTTGTCCAATGCACTCTCTTTGTCCATTCCAGATGATTTCTTCTCAGTTTTTTGCCTTTTCTTTTTTGGCAGTGAATTATCTTTTGGTGATGTAGAGAAGCCAGAATCCTCCTCTGATGTCAGAAGGCCACCTTTGATGGCACATCTGTTTAGTTTTTTGTCATGATTTTCATGGCACATACGTTTATGTTTCAATACACGATCTGTTCTGGAAAAATACTGTTGAAATCAGAGGTTGGAAGTGGTTTTTTTTTGTTGTTGTTTTTATGATTTTTTTTTTTTTGTCAACAAGGAAGAGAAGAAAAGAAACAAGATAATTAATAACAATATAAGTAACTCCAAGCCTATTCACTGATCAAGCTTCTATTATAAATCTAACCCGAGTTTAAAATCTCGAATGGTTCTAGCACTCCATGGCCTGACTTGCAGCCTCACCCTACAGTTATGGTAGGAGAAGAACTGTCTTACTTACCTGTAAGCAGTATTCACACTGGTAAGGCTTCTCTCCACTGTGAGTTCTCTTGTGCCTTTCCATGTGATATTTCTGTATGAATCTCATACCACATTCATCACAGCGGAATGGTTTTTCACCTAGTACATGATTTAAAAAATTTAAAACAAAACATTGTAAAATCATGGACTGCTTTGACAAAAGAACTCTGAACATAGACAGCTTTTAATAGTCATAATAATTTGCCCCTTTTAAATGACAAGGTCTTCCATATGGTTGAAAGCAGGCACAGTAAAAAGACTGCCATTGACGCCATCTAACACAATTTTTGGGTACAGATTTTGAAAAACAACATAACCACACCTGGAGATTTCATTCATTCATTCATCATATGCCGCCCATACCACAGCACGCTCACAACAGTCAGAAGACAACCTGTGGAAACTGATTCTCTTCTTCACCAGCATCTCAGATTTGAACTTTCCGGTTCTTAATCTTGACAGCAAGTGCCAGCAGGGGTACAGCTATTTTATTCTTAGGCGTTTTTTTTCTTTTAAATTACATTTACTTTTTTGTGTATCAGAGGTAATGAATGTGTGGAGCTGAGAGGACAATTTGAGGGAATCAGTTTTTATAATAATATCTGATAATAAACTCATCAGATATTATGTGGTATCTTTACAATGTTGAAAATCAAGTATAGAATTCTGTACATAGGGAACTATCCATCAAAAGTATGGATAGAGTAGAAATCTATTCAGATGAACAGAAACCAAGTATATTTATTATCAGTGGTCCCACAATGTAAAAACTATAAACATTTACTTGGATGGAAGAAAACTAATTCCTATGAAAACAAGAGAATAAGGCCAGCAGCATCAGCGTGGCTCAGCAGTGCAAGCTCTTGCAGTGCAGCCCTGATGGTCTGAGTTCCATCCCTAGAACCTGTGTAAAGTAGCCAGATGTGGTGGCATGCATTTCTACCGTGAGACAGGAGGTGGAGATAGGAGATGTGCCCGGTTAATGGGCCTGCAGGCCTGCAGTACACAGCACAGCAGGAGAAGCAGGAAAGACCCTGACTTAACGCAGTGGAAAAAGAGCAACAATTTTCTAAAGTTGTTCTTTGACCTCCACCTGCACAGTGTGGTATAAATGTTCACCTTATACACATACATCATACACACAATAATGGAAAAAAAGAAAACATGAAAAGGCAGGAAAAGAAGAATGGCAGAGATATTAAATATGTGCCTGAGGATAAGCAAGTGTCCTGTGGAATGACAATGCCTTACATTATCTTTAGCATTGAAGTGGGGAGCAACTGCAAAAGAGAGAAGTCAAGTCAATAGAACTGATAGTCTAAGCCCCTAGTGCTGTCAAGAAAGGTGGTAGTAATTTGTCTTGGCTTGAACATTCAGTTTCACATAGCCACTACAAGATAGTAAAACAAAGCCTGGTGGTCCACTCCTTTAATCCCAGACAGGTGGATCTGTGTGAGTTCCGAGGCCAGCCTTGTCTACATAGCAAGTTCCAGGACAGCCAGAGCTACATAGACCCTGTCTCAAAAAACAAAACAAAATGGAAGGAGAGAAAGAAAGAATGAGAGAGAATAGTAAAGCAAGTTACAGTCACTATAATCAAACAGACAAAAAATTGCTAAGAGATAGTTTGAGTGTCCTTTACCATAAATGCTTGGGACCCAAAATGTTTAAAATTGAAATGGTTTAGATTTTGTAGTACTTCCTTTTGCATAAGACAGCTTAGGATTGGACCCAAGTAAAACATGAAATTCATTGCGGTGACACACACAGCCTAAAGATAATGTGTTAAGAACTTTTAAATTTACCAGCACTGTAGGGTAGCATAACATAGCCGGTTAAGTGTGGAGTTGCTTCTTGTTTTATTTTGGCACTCAGAAAGTCTTGGATTTTGGAGTATTTCTGATTTCAAAATTCTGGGTTAGAGGCGCTCAGCCTATGCCTAATTTACCCCAAAAGCAGTAGTGAGGAACGAAAGGAACAGAAGCCAGATGGTCAAATAGCAAACCAATAGTGTATAACTGTTTGATCAGAAATAGTTGAGAAAGTATCCTAAATGTAAATAGCCTAAATACTCAGAATAGAGTCAGACTATACAAAAAGAGAGCCCTGTGATCAAGAGCTATATTTGATATGTAAGGGTAAGAGGGAACATGGAATAATAGAAAAACATACATTGTAAACACCTGTGGCCACAGCAAGTCCAACTAAAGAGTTTTCAGGCAACAAACATAGAAATGAAGGAGAACATGTTGCAGTGGTAACAAGGTTTGGTAACACCGGAAGACTGAAAGTTTGTAAATGTGCATATGGTACAAGAAACAGAGAAAGGAAAGTCTAAAGTTTATTCTCAGGCTACCATGATCCATCTTTATCAATCAGATATATTTTTTTTTTTTTTTAATGAGCTGCTAAAGAACTGGAACTATGGCCCAAGGATCTGAGCTGCTCAGTGTTTTGACATTGAGATATGTAATGTGTCATCCTCAAATTTGTTGGGCCAGATCCATACCAGTCCGGGGATGTGTGCAGACAGGCCTGTGGTTTGGACATGTCAAAGACCAAAACTGACGGCACACACATTCTTTTCAAGTGTATAGTAACCGTTTGTCAGGGAAAAAAAAAAAAAAAAAAAAAAGACACATCTGCCATGAGCCAGGACTTGCACACTGTGTTAGTCCACAGCCAGGGCTACCACTGCATATCACTACAGGTCTAGTTCAAGCATTACAAAGACAGGAAAACATCACGCTTTGTTTTCAAAACCTAAAAATGCAGGCCAGGAGAGGGGTCAGAATGTAAATGCGTTTGCCACTAAGCCTGCTCACCTGAGTTGGCTCTCTGAAACCAGAGTGGAAATAGAGAACTGACTCCCACAAGGTGTGGAGGTCAGAAATCAACTTGCAGGAGTCAGTTAACTCCTTTAACACGTGGGCCCCAGGGATTAAACTTAGGGTCCCTGAAACTCGCCCCTGATGATGCAGCCTTGCCAGGCCACGGAGGAAGAGGATCCTAGCAGTCCTGATGAGACTTAACAAGCTATGGGCAGATGGCAATAGTGGAGACTCCCCTTTCAGTGGACTAAGGGAAGGGGATGAGGAGAAGAGGGAGGAAGGGTGGGATGGGGGAGTTGAGGAAGGGGGCTTCAATCATGATATATAAATAAATTGTGAAGGAAAGAATTAAAAAAGACATTTTAAACAACAGTATATGTGTAGGAAGAAGATGACCATGTCCCTATGACCTGTAGTGCTTGTTTTGTTTTGCTTTTAGCTATTTGATAGCTCGGTTCAGAGAAGAATGGGTGTCTTTAAAATGGCCTGTTCTCAGCTGGGCATGGTGGCACATGCCTGCAATCCCAGTACTCAAGGAGGCAGAGGCAGAGGCAGGCAGATCACTTTGAGTTTGAGGCCAGCCTGGTGTACAGAGCGAGTCCAGGACAGCCAAGGCTACACAGAGAAACCCTGTCTTGGGGGCAGGGGGGGAAGGCTTATTTCGAGTCAGAATATGGAGGTCACCACATTAAAGGGTTGCATCATTAGGAAGTTGAGAACTACTGTCTTAGACCATCTCCCAGTTACTTGAAGTTCTGGGAGGGTTTTCTTGAGATTGTTCTCTTCTTACTTAAGGTAATTAATTTTCTAGTGTTGTTGGGTTCATAAAGGAGAATTTTAAACAACTTCTTAGATTTTTACTGTATCCATACTTTTGATGGATAGTTCCCTGTGTACAGAATTCTACACTTGATTTTCAACATTGTAAAGATACCACATAATATCTGATGAGTTTATTATCAGATATTATTATAAAAAAACCAAACAGCTAGGGCTAGGTATGTAGCTCAGTTGGTAGAGTGTTTGCCGAGCACACAGAAGGCCATGGGTTTGATCCCCAATACCATATAAACAGAGTGTGATGGTGTGCACTTGTAATCTCAGCACTGGGGAGATGCACAGGAGGAGCAGAAATTCTGGATTACTCTCAACTACGAAGAGAGTTCAAGGCCAGGGCAGGGTACATGAAACCCTATCTAAAACAAAAGTGGTTGTTTACGGCCATAGGTTACTGCTGCTCTCGGCACTGGTCAGAGACACTTCTGTTTGCAGCTACAAGAGTTAAAGACCACAGACTGGTCAAAGTGCTGAGAGTGAGTGACTGGAGTCCTCACCCCTAAATAGGATGTTTATAGCACCCCTCCAAAGCCCATGGGAAACTGTGGAAAAGGGCAGAAACGCTCTGAAGAACCAGAAAACACAAGCATCAAAGTATTACCATCCTGATACAATATGGTTGTTGTACCCATTTATTCACAGCATCGGTGGCTACCTGCTCTAGACTTCCACAAAACTGGGCCTATTAACACCCAGTCCAGAATGGGGAGAGCTCCTAAGGCCTACCACTCTTTGAGGACCTACAGGCCCTTAATGGCTATGTGTGGGAGGAGTCACCAGTGCTGTAGTTACTGGTAAGTTGCCCTTGCTAACGCAACTAACCGTCCACCAGTGCTCATGTTGGCACAGATTAAAATGTTGTGGGGAGAGAAACAGAGAGGGGGGAAGGAAGGGAGGGAAAGAGGGATGAAGGGAGGGAGGAATATGGGTCTGCTGGGGAGAAGTGAGAGTTCAATGGAAGTACCGCTGAAAGTATAATCCAGACTGCTCAAGTGCCCTTTATGTATAAAGTAAATGTATATGTATAAAAAGTAAACTATAAAATAAGAAAGTGAAGAGCAGGGAGGAAGTTAGATATTGCTCTTTTTGGTTTTCTGAGGGCAATTTCTCTGGTGGTTATTACAAGCTTCTGGAGAGGTGGGGGCAGGTAAAAGCACTTGTCACACAAACCTGGTATCTCACTTTGATGGTCCCCAAAACCCATGTTAGAAGAAGGGAACCAACTCTTTGAAGTTGTTCCTCACCTCCACATGTACACTGAGGCATGCACTGTGTACATATAACTTTATTCAGTCTTTACAGGTTTCAGTTATTTTAAAGTTTACGCCCCCTCCTCCACCACCCCAGCCTGCTTTACAGTGCTGGAGAGGAAGAATCCTGCGCGTGCTGGGCAAGCACTCTAGCACCAAGCTGCACCATTGGCCCTTGGTTTACGAGACAGGGTATCACTGTGTAGCCTTTCTGCCCATCTCCAGCATGCTGGAATTGCAGGCACACACCAACACCTGCAGCATGCCTGTCCGGCCCCCTCCTGCTTAGCGTTAACCTAACCGGCCTTTTGAATTTAGCCTGGTGTATTTAAAAGCACAGTTACTCTCTGCTAAGGCTCTTGTTCCAGCCCTTATTTCTAGAATTCCAATGACAAAGAAATTATCTCCACTATAAACCAACTATAATTTGAATCCAGCACTCTAAATTCACTGCCTGCAGATTAACTTATGCATCTGGTGTAGAGCTAATTATATATAGACCATGCCTGAGAGAATTAGAGAAATGTTTATACTATACGTCTGGTTTTTATTTTTTTCATGCTACTTTTCTCCCAATGAATTCCAATTTACTAATCTTCTCTTTTAGGGCCTTTACTCCTCCATTAAGCTTGTATATTATATCACTTATTACATTGTTCAACTCTAGAACTCCCATGGACCTTTTTCATAGAATGCAAAGTTCATTTTTCATCTATTTTCTAAAATATGTTAGTGATATATTTTAAAGTCTCCTTTTGATAACCCTATGAAGAAAAGACCTATTTCTGGGCTGTTACTTCCTCCTGTCATTTGGCTGCTATTGTCTCTGGTTGAGAATGATGGGTGAGGTATGGGGCACATGCCTGAAGTTCCAGCATTCAGGGCAAGAGGACTACAAACTCAGTGTTACTCAGACATACAGGAAGTCCGAGGAAGGTGTCTTAGTGATTTATGACAGCGTATTTGAAAATAAAGAGCTCAATGGTATTAAAATAGTACTTTATGAATACAGGACTTTAACTGCAATTACAATGTAATTTTACATATAATGTAGTAACTGCATTTTAGTTACTAGTATGGAATAAGTCTTTCTAAACAATTATAATAATAAAAAAAAACAATTATAATAAGTAAAAAATAGTCATATGCTCAAAATATTTTCCAGTGGCAATATTCAATAACATTGTGGTTTTGATTATTTATTTATTCATTTATAAAGTCTTGCCCTGTAGCTTTGTCTGAAATAAGACATGCAGGCCATGTTGACTTCAAACTTGTAGTGAATCTCCTGCCTTGGACTCTTAAATGCTGAGATTCAGAAATGTGCCACCATGCTTAGTCAATTTAAATTCTTTTTAGGGCTGAAGCTGGATTTCGGGGGAAAAAAAAATTAAGTTTAACTAGATTTCTAGAAAAATACATGCTATGTAAGCTTGTATCATATACTATATTTAAAATACTGTGTGTTTTGCAGGGGAGATACGACTGGACTTCATTTTATGCTCATGCAAAAAGGTCCCAACACCTGGCTCCTGCTGGTGTCCACTGCATACCATACCTTGCCTGGTTCACGTGACTGAACTTCGAGCATGGCTCTGGCCTATTAACATGAAAGCCCAGGCTGGTGGTTTTTACCAGGTCAAGACAAGGGCTGCCACTGGCCTGGCACTGGGCTGGTTGACTGGCTGCTAGAGGTCTTGGGATATTCTGCCAAGTGCTCAGAGGAATGCAGCACTCAGGCCATGACTGTGAGTTGGACTCCCCAAAGAAGAATGAGGCCCCTCTACCAGGCCGGGGTAGCACCTTGCAGACACGAGGTGTTGGATCCAGCACTTTGCCCTCCAACAAGTGTTCCTAACCATCGAGCCATCTCTCTAAACCCTGTATGCAATTTTCATGGTTGGACACAACTCTAAATGTGTTTCCACAAGTGCTTATATTCATAAAATGAAAACCAACAAAAAGGAACAAATTACCAATTCATCAAAAACTCTCCAATTTACTGTGCTGAGAAGTCAAGTTTAAGACCAAACATCATATAGTTTCACTTAAATATTCTGGAAGAAGCAGCACGAGAGACAGAAAATATACCACCTATCAAATGGGACGGAAGAATTTTGAACAGAACTTCTCCATCAACATAGAGTATGTTTACAAAGAGATATGTGCTTTTCAAAAGAGTTGGACAATTCACACTGAAAGTGGCAATGTAGTTTGCTCTATAAATCTTGTTAAGTATGAGCTCAATATATTTCTCCTCCTAAAATTAAAAAAAAGGTCTGCATTGGCTGGGCATGATGTTATACACCTTTAGTCCCAGGCAGAGGCAGGAGGATCTCTGAGTTGGAGACCAGTCTAGTCTAAAAGTGAATTCTAGGACAGCCAGGGTTACACAGAGTAACTGTGTCTCAAAAACAAACAAACAAAAACCAAATGAATGAATGATAAAAAGGTATTTTTCTATCCATACCTATACAAATCACTGAAAATCCTCAGATGTCTTATAAAATTAAATAAATCTTCCCAACCACTGCCTCCTAATCATTCCATTACTAAATGACAACCTGTGGCCAGTGAATCTAGGTGCTTTCACTACATTCATTCTGGAAACCTTTACTACCTTTACCTACTCAACTGTCATTCAAAGGAAGGTTATGAGCTCCTCTCCTGCCAAAAGAATTCCAACACATGGATGACCACCTGCAGTGCTAGGAATTTACCTCAATGTCTGAGTAATCCAATCTTCTCCATTATACAGTAAGCAGCAACCAACCAAAAGTGAGATGGGAGGCGGAAATACTGCTGTTTTATAGAAAGGAGAAAGTCTGAAAATTTCATTTGGGGAAAAAAGCTGATACACCTTTTCTTTAAAAGAACCATGTATAGCCAGGCTTGGTGGCGCACACCTTGATCTCAGCACAGGACACGGGCAGATCACTGTTGAGCTTGGGGTCAGCCTGGTAACATAGTGAGTTCCATGACAAGCAGAACTAGATATTGAGACCTAGTCTCAAAAACAAAAAAACACCAAACAAACAAATAAAAAAAAACAAAAAATTTGGGCTGGAGAGATGGCTCAGAGGTTAAAAACACTGGCTTCTCTTCCAGAGGTCCTGAGTTCAATTCCCAGCAACCACATGGTGGCTCACAACCACCTGTAATGAGATCTGGTGCCCTTTGCTGGCATAGAGGTGTACATGCAGATAGAACATTGTATACATAATAAATCATCTTAAAATAAAACTTTCGATGAGTTTTTTAGAAAAGCACATTATAAATAAGGCTCTGAAGGGTCATTCAATCTCTGTCCCACCTATTCAGCTCTGCTGTGTGCTATGTAGTGAAGACGTAGACACAAGCTCTGCTCATTATAGTAAGAGATGGTGACATGGCCCAATGTCTCAACTACAGACCTACTCCAGATGAGTGAACTAAAGAAACCATTCACAGCAGGTATTCAGAACCCATTGTTAAATGACCCCAATTCATAAGGCCAGGAAGATCGCTGAGTGGGCAAAGATGCTTGTTGCCAAGCCTGACAGCCTGCATCTGATAGTCATGATGGAGAAGACCGACCCAAGAAAGCTGTTCTCTGTCTTCCGCCCACTAGCTGTAGCAAGCATATACCATTTTTGCCCTCCTACAAAATACATAAAAACCTAAGTAAAAAACGCCAATAAAATAAGCTAATTTTGCATAGTCTTTTTATCCCAACAGTCAAATGAACAAAAATACTCAATTATATTTAACTAAAATAAAGTTCAGTCAAATAAGTACTACACGAAAGAGGTGGAGGCGGTTGGGGGAGGGACTAAGAATACAGCTCTTGGCAGGGAAATGCTTGCCTAGGAGACACAGGGTCTGAGTTCAACCCCTGCAACCCAAGCCACACAAAATAAAGTCTTACAAAGACAGGACAATGGTTGGGGCTGGAGAGATGGCTCAGTGGTTAAGAGCACTGTCTGTACTTCCAGAGGACCCGGGTTCATCCACAGCACGTACATGTAGGCTCACAGCCACCTACACCTCCACTCCCAGGAAATCTGATGCCCTCTTCTGTCAGCATGCCTGCAAGTGGTGAAAACACACATGCAGGGAAAACACCAATATACATAAAAAACAAAAATAATTAAGGACAATAGACATGGTTATAAGCAAAGGAGTTGCTATGATAAAGGACAGAATTTACATTAAGTAAAGATGAAGATTTTGTGGGGAATGATGAAAGGGGGTCCTGTCACAGTTAGGCTCAGCTGTTAACACATTAGAAAGAGGGAACTGCTCTATCAGATTGGCCTGTGGTACACTTTCTTGATTGCTAGTTGACACAAAAGGACGCAGCCCACTGTGGGTGGTGCCACACCTGGGTAGGTAGGTGCCTTGAAAAAGGCAGCTGTGCAGCCCGGGGAAGCAGGCAGAAAACAGCCTTCCTACAGGCTTCCTGCTGCCAGGAGCTTCCCTTAGTCAGAGCACTATGACCTATAAGACAAACCTTGTCTCCTCAAGCTGCTTTTAGTCAAAGTGTTTAACCCTAGAAACAGAAAAGCAAACTGGAACACAGACTGGCATTAGACAGGAGGGTATGGCTGTGAAGGGTCTGACCATGTTGTTTCATGGGATGATTGTGGAAGCACCTGCAACTGAGATAGAAAACTGTCACTGAGCACTCTGGGCTGTTCTGTGTGAGCTCAAAAGAATGCTTGAAAGGCAAACAAAGAAGGCTTGCATTTTCAAGTTTTAGGAGGAAGCAAAGGCTATCAGGCCATTTGCGTTAGATTCTGAATAAGGAATCAGGTTTCTCATCAGTTGGGGCTGAAGAACCAGAAGAGTGCAGCACCACTGGAGTGAAACCTGTGCTTCCCCAGGACAATGGATGCTGGTTAGCAGGAGCTGAAGAATCAGCTGTAACTAAGAGACCAGCATCACTGAAGCAAAATCTTCTGGGAAGTATTTCTCAGGGCAGAATACAGAAGCTGTGGGCCACACGGGACCAAAGCAGAGTTTCACATGCAGTAGTGGTTCTGGTGACAAGAAAGCTACAGTGCTGACAGGGCTGTGGAGAAGCTCGAATCTGGCATCATGTGGCATGGCCCAAAGAAAAACCAAGAGAGGCCATTGGTGAAGGTGTAACCTCAGCTGCTTTTGAGATCCCTGGATACTGGAGACTCCAGAACCATGGGCCAACCAACTACAACAGCAGCAGAAGTGGAGAACGTCCTGAGCCTACCTAAAATGCTGAGGGTGGCAGAGCCGGAGAGGTGGGACTACTCAACCCTCTGGAGACCAGAAGATGAGGAGTAAGTCCCAGGCACTAACTATGTACATTATTGGATTTTGGGTTTGCCTTGATCTGAATTCACTTGTGCCCCAGGTCCTCCCTCCTGGGATAAGAAAATATACCAATTATTTTAGAGGTTTGTTTGTTCTTTATTTTAAAAGAGATCTCTGCTTTTAACTCACTGGAATTTTTCAAAGACTGTGGGACTTTTAAAGGTGTTTTATATTAGGTGGACATGGTAACACACGCCTGTAATCCTAGCACCCAGGAGGCAGAGGCAGACAGATCTCTGTGTGTTCAAGGCCATCCTTGGACTACAAAGTGAGTCCAAAAGAGCAAAGCTATATAAAGAAAGCCTGTCTTGGGGAAAAAAAAAAGTAATAGTACGATAGTAATATGAGATCTTGAGAAAAAAAAAAAGGTTCTAGTTTAAAGAGGTGTTTGCGTGGAATGCCAGTTAGCTTCATTTCTCAACATGCAAACCTGAGGCAAGGGAACATCAACTGAGGACTTGTTTCTATCAGATGGGCTTGCAGTCATGTCTGTGGGTCATCTTATTAATTGCTAGTTTATGTAGACGGCCCAGTCCTCTGTGGCTGGTGTCACCCCTTCACCCCTGGACAGGTAAGCACAAGCTGCAAAATAGAGGTAAATGAGGAAGCCGGGGTGAGTAAGCCAGTAAGCAACATTTTTCCTCAATGGTCTCTGCTTCAATTCCTGCCTTGGCTTCCATAGATCGTAGACTGTAATTTGTACACTGAAACAAGCCCCTTTCTTTACCCAAACTGCTTTTGGTCAGCATTTTATCACAGCAACAAAAAGTAAGTCAGAAAAGAGGTAGAAATCACTGAATTGTAGGTTCTAGTAGAAGAAAGGGACTCTTAAACTCCAAGTACTAACAGTGTGAGAAAACATGGCAGAACATAGTGCCAGGAACTGGAAATCACAGACACCGGAGTTTAGTAACCAATACTGTAAGGAGAGACCGTGAGAACAATCAAGCAGCAACAGGGGCCAGGTGAAGTGGCACACACCTCCAATACCCAACATTTGTAAGGCAGAAATAGGTGGATCTCTTTGAGTTCAAAGCCATCCTGGTCTACATAGTTTCAGGCAGCTGGAAGTACATGGTCTCAATAGAATGGATGGATGGGTGGGTGGGTGGATGACAGGAACCTCAACGAAGCAGATGCCTAAGAACTGAGAGAGTAAGGGGAAAACTGAGATAGCACATTTTTCCCATAAAGACTAGACATTAGACTTGGTAGTCCAAGAAGTAATCAAAGATACTCTATGCATACAAATATAAAAAGATAACCCCCTACGAAGTTTTAATTAATAAAGTCCAAACTATAAGTGAAAAAAAATGAAATTCTCTTCTGTGGTGAAAAGCAATAGAAAGCTCAGTGAAAAGTTAGTGTTCTTTTTCCTCTTAAAAGGGAATAGTGTCCCCTTAAAGGCCATTTTCAATGTCAATGCCAATTATCAGTGCAATTTTTAGTCAGGCAATGGTAGCATAGAACTTTAATCCCCATACTTGGGAGGCAGAGGCAGGCAGATCTCTGAGCTTGAGAGCAGCTAGTATACACAAACAAAAGCAAAAGCAAGCAAGCAAACAAAAAAAACAGTTATGGTTTTTTTTTATCTTTGAATCTATCTTATCAAAGTAGTATCAATCCATGAAAATATCTGATTTATCAACTGAAAGGAATTTGTAACATTCTAGTACATTTCTGATATCTGGATTTTAATACTTACTATATTATATATTATTAACTTCCAATAAGACTGGGTGAAGTTGTTCATTTAATGTATTCAGAAACATGGACACTTGGTTTGGAACCCTGTCCAGAAGCTAAGGGAGCTGTGGTCTGAGCTCAGAATGCAGTCATGGCATATCTGGGTGGAAGGGAGGTTTTGGGACTGTTCCCATAACCGCTTGGCAGTGGGTAAGGCTGTACTTTGGGACCCAACAGCAGCTGCTATTGAAGTAATTTTGCCACAAGAGCCGTTTTCCCCTGTAACACTAAGTTGAATACATTAAGAAACATCTTCAATCTTCAGCAAAAGCTAATTTCTAAAATCATGCTGCAATGTTCAGTAATAACAACTTAGAATGGTTTATTTCATTCAGAAAAACATGTCTTTTGACTCCACACTCAGAAACTCCCCATAAAGGCCAGAGATTTGGCTCAGTGGTAAAGGTACTTTCTGTCAAGGCTGAATTCAAA